TTTTTTTTTGGCAGGGGCTGGGTTTGAACCCTTCACCTCTTGTGTATGGGGCTGGCGCCCTACTCCTTTGAGCCACAGGCGCTGCCCTATCCTTTCTAACTTTTTCATCATTCCCTCTCATGCTTCAGTTTTATCATCTGCAGAAAAACAACTAAAGGTCTCATATTTACCTCACTGAATTATAAGACTTAAATAACAAGTGATTTGAATAGTAAAACATAAAATGCAATAGATTAGGATCTTTATTTTTATGTGGACGGAGGGATGAACAGGTGGACATGGGAGACTTTTAGGAAAGTCACCTATTTTGTATAATGTAGTAAGTAATGGTGGATACATGTCATTTTATACTTGTCAAAACCTATAGAATGTGCAACACAAAATATGAACCCTAATGTGAACGATGAACTTTAGTTAATAATCAGTATCAACTGGGGCTTATTGTGACAAAAGTGCCACATCAATATAAGATATAAATAAAAATAGGAGAAACTACTGTGAGGGGTGGAAGAGGGTAAGCGATAAGTCTATTTTCCAATTGATTGTTCTGTGAACCTGAAACTTCTTTAAAAAAGTAAAGTATATTAATCACCACTCAAGAATAATGGATATTAGAAAGTGCCTATCTTTCAAAACAAGAACACATTCTTCATAATTAATATTTACCATTCTCCAGCTTGGCTGACTGAATTTAATTCTGTTACATTGTACATTATAGATGGCTCCAATGAAACTTTCTCCATAAACATAGGTGAAGTGGTAATATTCTGAATCTGGGCTTCGAGAAATACTTCATCAGTCTGAGAATATGAAAAAAATACCCACCGAAGTGTGATAGTTTTTAAAATACTTATTTCAACAAAAATATCTTATCTATTTGAAGAAAAAATATTAACCACAAATGTGATTAGTTCATGCCTGCAAATCAAAGTTATTATAATTAATGCAAGAAAAATCTTCATCCCAACATAATTAACAGGGGCAAAGTCAAGTGTTAGTCAACTGATACCTTGTCAAACAATGGATGGGGGATAACTCTATTTTGTATTAGCATACAAAATATTTAGCTGGAATTTCATTCACAAATATCCTAAATCTTTTAGTAATGCATTAATTTTTAAAATGTCAGAATGTGCTTTAGTACCTATGCACCTATAATTTCAGTGTTATGTTAAGATAATTAGGTATTTATTATAATATTCCAGCATAATATAACTTTAATTGTCATATTACTTCAATTTAGATAGATTAGTGACCACTAGTCCTACAAATAATCTATTTTATAATCTTAGAGGATTTAATTTGTTAGAGCAGGTGTGTGAGTGGTCTTTAGTGATTTTCTGTTCACTTTAAATGTATATTTAGGGCTAATAATATTATAGCTGATAATCTTAGAACTTTCACATTAAGCACAAAATATTTTGCAATTGCCTGATTATGCTAAACTTTATTTTTATGCTTTTTGGTTACTATCTTCTTTGTGTGATTGAAGGTAATGACAAACCTTGTTTATCTTTGAAATAAACATGCATAAAAACTGATATATGAAGGGTAATCAGGAATTCTTTTTTTTTTTTGCTTTTGAGACAGAGTCTCACTATGTTGCCCTGGGTAGAGTACCATGGTGTCACAGCTCCCAGCAACCTCCAGCTCTTGGGCTTAGGCTATTCTCTTGCCTCAGCCTCCCAAGTAGCTGGGATTATAGGTACGCACCACAACGCCTGGCTAATTTTTGGTTGTAGGTGTCATTGTTGTTTGGCAGGCTCGGGCTGGATTCAGACCCACTAGCTCTTGTGTATGTGGCTGGTGCTCTAGCCACTGCTACAGGCACCGAGCCAGGAATTAGTTTTTCAGAAGTTTTATAATTATGTATATATTATACAGAAATAAAATAAAATAATTATGACTAGAAAAATGTACTTATTAGCTTTTTTAACAACAATGACAAAAGGATAAAAATCTTTTGTAAAAATATAATGCTGAAGTTATATTTAATGTATTATTATTTATAATAAAACAGATTCCTTAGTTTTGGGACACATGCTTATATGCAAATAGAAATATAATGATTTATTAATTTGAAAATGTACTATTTAAGGGCATTAGTCTGTTACTTTTTCTTAAAAAAAAAAGTGTATATATATATCCCATCAATCCATTGCTTTCAAAAACCCCACAGACCCACATTTCAATTTATAAATGCAATTTTCTTTATAAGTTTAGGAAGAGCTTAGATAAAATGAAAGAAAAACAAGCAGCATAATGGAAAATCAGGTTAGTGTGAATAGTTATTAATTTGACATTTGAAACATTAAGAATTCAGTGCTAAGGCCGTTGATATTATACATAAGTAATGTGACATAAGGAAATGCTGCTTAAGTAGAAATTTGAAAGTAAGATTTTAGCCAATTTGGGAGAATTTGGCTATCAAAAGGCCATCATTACCTGACCCAGACGTAAAACTAAAATCACTGTGCATCTGAAAATGAACTTCAATTTTTCAGTCTATTCAAATAATCGAAGGAAAGCTATTTTAAACAAGATTAATATGTCTTTTAAAAATCACCTTAAACAAACTCACTAAAAATGAGAATCTGTTTCAATGTGACAATTGATGATACAATTTTTCCCCACAGAATAACATGATATAATAAGTACAAATTATATACATCTTTCTGAAGTCACACAGATGGTATTCACAACTAACTGCTTTTCCATTATGTTTTATAAAGAAAGATTAATTAGGCAGAATCAAAAAGTGGTGAGTAAGAACAGCATATAAATTTATAATAAAAAATTAAATTACCACAGAACTGAGGTCACTCTAATGGAAAAATAAAAAGGAAAAATTAGAAAAATCAGAGTTAAATGTTAAAGAAAAAGAATAACTTTAAAATAAAATGCATTTTTGCATTTTTTTAATTCACCGAACAAGACAGCATTAGTAAACAAGAAAGTAAACAGGAAGCAACATAAAGAAATATGACAAACCATTTTTCTAAAAAGGTAAAACTGCTAAGGTTAAATGACAATGGAATAGAGAAGAACACTATGGTTGAATATTCAAGCAAATTGTTAAGGGCACATTTTGGAGAAAAGAGGTATATTTCATGCCTTTCTAGTTCTAGAAATTCTTACCTACATTGTAATTCTTCATAGATGACTTAAGATGGATATATACTATCCTCTTTAAAATAGATATACATTGTATACCTTCTCCAAAATTTACCTAATACTGGGATTCTTTTTTTTTTTTTTTTGCGGGTTTTTTTGCCCGGGGCTGGGTTTGAACCCACCATCTCTAGCATATGGGGCCAGCGCCCTACTCCTTTGAGCCACAGGTGCCGCCTGGGATTCTTTTTTTTTTTTTTTAAAGAGCATTTTGCCTACCTAGTCTTAGATTATACTTCACAGAATACTTGGCTAGACTACGTCAAACAATTAAGACTTCTTTCTCTTTTTGTTAAGTTTCATAGTTAGCCTTTTATAAATACATATTTCTTTTTTTTTTTTTTTTTTTT